GGTTACAGAAACGTAGAAGAGCAACGAAAGCGAATTTAAGATATAGGAAGAGAAGAGAACGGCTGCTGTAACTTACATGCAAGATACTTTGTCCCAGAATCTGTTATGTGAGCTCCAAAGAGATCCAGGTGAGTCAAACCAGTAAAACCTATACTCCGTAGAACCAAAAGAATTACACGCTTAAGTTTCTAGCAGCAGCATCAACTGGAAAAGAACTTATATGATATGGCTACACATGCTACAGAGGAATTGTTGCGGCGAGTCACATCTCAAAATATAAGTACATTTTGGATTCAGCATCTACTAAGCATTAGCACTTCGTCCCATGCTGCGCACATACATATTGTTTTACTAGATATCTACGACTCCTCTGTCTAATTAAAGGCTTTCCCATAAGTAATAGAAGATTATGAGATTACGTCTCTCTAAACTATATATGAACTCTGAACTTTAGTCACTGCCAAGAGATAATTTTCCAAGGCTTACCTGTGAGAATTGCAAGACCGGAATCTGTAATTTGGCGCACATCCAGATTAAGTGACTTGAGACGTGTCAATCCAGATAACTTTTGCAAACCATCATCGGTTACTAAGGTGAATTTGAGGTTGAGTTCTTCCAACTTGGCCAAACCTAAAATAAATGAATCATTCAAATCTATCATAAAACATGCAAAATAAGAAGTCGATCACATCAAACTATCAAATGTTTCGCTGCTGATATATGAAAAAGTGAAAAGAATTGACACTGAAATGCACTTAAACACTATCAAGAAAGTCGACATAAAAGAGAAAAATCCAATAAACTTGGTATATGGAAGATGAATCAAAACCAGCAACTACAATATGAAAATAGCACCGAGAAGATATGTCGCGTGGACTCTCCAAAATGATGCCGCACCTGTGTCGGATCCTCCAAAAATACACTACTTTTGGAGGATCCGACACACACCGGGCGATATTTTCATAGAGTCCGAGCAACATAGCCGACAAGATAGATGATGAATTCTCACCAAATTCGCTATCTTGCAGTCCAAACATTTTCCATTTTACTAAACGAGATGGCTGTAAATTCATTTTTTAAACCTTTGAAAATGCAAGTAGACAATCACTAAAACTAGTCCAACAGACAAATTACTCAACATAACATGTCTGCAATATATGAACACATCATGTCTATCCAAGACTCTAAATAATATAGAGCTCATAGACAAGGAATATTCCTCTAGCACACACGAAATATCCATAAACTAAATGGAGTATGTAATTTTATGGCTTGGCTTTATTGATCTGCAAAATCAAGAGGATGGAAGGGAGAATCTTTTTGGAGAATAAGAGCTATCTTTACCAGCTAAATGAGCCAGTCCGTCATCCGTAGTCCTACAAGAGTCCAAGTTCAGGGCTTCCAATTTTGTCAGACCTGCAATATTGATCCTATGGAATAAATAACCAAAAACTATAGAAGATAATAATACACTCCATGTGAAAGAGATCAATCCAGTAAATCTAACGCTTTGACAGAGATTTTTATGTTGGACTTCAAAAGCATAGAGGGGGTTTGAAAATATTAACGAAATTTTAAAATGAAATATAATCTGCGATGAACATAATCAAAGAGGTAAGACAGACCTTCCAGATAGCCCAAACATGCATCCGTGATGTGGTTATATCCCAAATTCAACACCTTCAAATTGCTGAGTGCTGCACGGTACACAACAATTGGCTAAATATGTAACATTATCTTTCTCTAATCAGTTCGCTATGAGAAATAACGGTATCTGCCAGTTACCTGAAAACTTTTCGCATCCATCATCTCTCAGGCAACATCTATTGAGATTTAGAGATTGCAGCGAAGGGAGTGCTATAGAATAAAAAAAGGGTGTCATTAGAACACTACTATTACCATCCTCAGAGAGTAACTTTAGAAATCATTGCTGATTTCTTCTATGACTGCAACAACATGTTATCGTGATAAGATAAAACCAAATAGGTAGGACATCCACATAATGTAATCCACACCAATTAAAATCTCCTCTAGAAGCAACAAGGTAGAGAAAATGTATTGCAACCTATCTGCATGTGTAAATATCAGAGTGTAACCACATGAGAAGCATTTTAAAGGCGACAAGAGAATGCAAACCTGAGATAGTATCCAAACATGAAGTAGTAACATGGGATCCTTCTATATTTAGTACAACAAGTTTGTTCAAACCTAAAAAATCGAAAGGAAAGAAAATCTCAATATATAAAGGAGAAAGACTATAAAGACAACAACCTTAGATACTTACATAAGCACAGTAAGAAAAAGACTGTATGACACTCTTATTTTAGATGTTCTATCTATCAAACTAACTTTTCCACTGTTTTTTCACTACCACTAAAGTTACACAAGTTGAAGTACCATCATAAAATCCGTGTAAGTCCAACACCATCTTATAAAATGAGACAGAGGGAGTACTTAAAAGGGGATAACTGAAAAGGCACAACTAAAGGTATATCGGAAAGGTAATTTAAGGGATACAGTAAGAAAAAGACTGTAAACTCTCAAGATCAAGTTGGCACTGAATGTCTGAGTCTGTGACATCTCGCCCCGTAAAGGGAAAAAAAATTTATTTTCCCCTTCCTTTCAAATCAGAAACTGCAATGGCTCATACAACTTTTTTGCAACCAGCTAAGATGGAGGCTTTACATCTAAAAAGTTCCTAGTTTATCATACAAGATATCGAAATGCAAAGAAAGAGCTACCGGCATCAGGAGAACGAAATCAAGTTTTTATGTTCTTGCACAAATCAACTCGACAGTCTTATAAACTGGAAAAAGTGAACAAAGCCTATGTTGCATGGATTCTCCAAAATACTGCGGCTCCCATGTCGGATTCTCCAAAAATACACTGCTTTCAGAGAGTCCGAACAACATAGAACAAAGCTATAGAGGCTGTGACCAACTTCGGCTTCAAGTTAGAAAATACTCTGCATGTGATTTTGTAGAAGAGAAAGCAAGAATATAACTTCAAAATACAATGCAAGGGCTCCCTAGCATGGAAACTACAGGATGGACCTCATAGGACCTATCATCACCATCATAAGACAATGCAAAAGTAATTACAACAGAAATACCAATTAGTACCTCTAAAATAAGACACTCCATAATCTGTTACGTAGATACACAGAATCTGAAGTTCCTTCAAACTCGCAAGCCCTGAAGTCCGTCACGTGAATATGAGCAAACTTTCACATAATAACAAGCACAGTAAGATGACATGTCTGAAGATTTTGAGGCACATTCACTGCCAATACCTGCCAGAGGCTTCATATCTGAATCTGTAATGCACTGACAACATCTTATACTGAGAGATTCAAGTTTTGTCAAACCTGAAAAGAAAAAGGTACTCTATATTTTAAGTTGAACTTCACCAAGATGGTGGAATAAAATTCAAATATTAGTCGCGAATGGTGATTATAACAATTAAAAATAAATCATTTTTCATGGTGTGGAAATCAAATTGTCTCAAGATTTACGGTAGGTCCACAAGAGAGCATTAACCGAAACATGTCCACAAGGATCAATGAACTAAAATAGAAAGCATAACCAACCTTGAAGATGAACAAATCCTCCATGAATCTGTGGACACCTCTCGAAATCCAACTTAACCAATTTATCTAAGCTGGATAAAGCTTGCATAGCTTCAGCAGTAACCGAAACACATTTTCTAAAACTCAAATATGTCAAATTTGAGAAACCTGAAAGGCACAAATTTAACCATTGTCAGCACCAAGCAACTCCTTCACGCGGTACAGTTTACTAGGAAACATAACAGATTGAATCACAAATTGACCTTCTTCGCAATTCAACAAGTAAAAGAGTAAGATAATGCAAAACACACAGTGGATTCCCATAGGTGGGGTCTGGGGAGGGTAGGGTGTACGCATACCTTACCCCTACCCTGGGAGCGCAGAGAGGCTGTTTAAAGTGATAGTAACAGTTTTTCTTGTCTTCATATAACACTCCATTTCTATAGGGGAAAACAGGCTTGCAAGAAACCAATACACATTGGCAAGCGAATAAGAAACTATTGCGATTTGCGGGAGAGAATAGAAATAACTACCACTGACTTGCTTTATCCCCTGTTCAGAAATACAGTCACAGCAATCGAAAGATAACACTTGGAGGTTTGAGCAATTTTGCAAGAGACTGAATCCAAAATCCGTGACATCAGAACCAACAATATATACAGACAGTAACGATGATCCTTGTGAAGATATGACATCCATCCAATTATCTTTAACTCCTTTATATTCTCCCATCCACATATCCTGTCAACAAAGAAAACTTTCAAAACAAATAGGCCTATAAGATCTTGTACTAAAAAATCACTTGATTCGCAATTTTCAATATGATTTTCAATGTGAGTGGGGATTTTACATGCAGTGCACAGTCTCTAAAAGCTTCGATACAATCATCCGAAAGACAGTTTGAATAAACCAGATTGTTGAATATCAACTGGCTTATATCCCTTGGCAGCATTGAGAATGAATGATATCTGTTAAGGTCCTGTTAATAGAAGAGAGCATAAGATCTCCTTAACCAAAAGAACTCAATAACCTTAACGGCATAGGCGGATGCAGCCTATACTAAATGAGTTCAGCTAAACTCAGTATTTTTGACACGTAACATGAATATATAAGTGAAACTAAAATTTCAACAAATATTAACTTTGAAACCCATAATTTCAAAAGTACAATACGTTCAGTACTAATAAAAGTAAAGGCTGGACCTATTAAGTTTATATCCACCGCGATCCGTCTATGCTTAATGGAACATATAAGAGGAAATCAATCACCTTACGTATTCTATGAATGCATAATTCCATGAGGGACGGACAACCGCTTCCTCCCGGATGATAATCTATGACACTCTCAAGAAGGAAGGACTGTAGACAATTTGAGCTACCAAATTTGAAGCGTCTACTTGAGAAACCTCTTCTACTAATGTTATCATCATCATGCTGGTCTCTCTTTAATGAACAAGCACCCCCCATTTTGGAATTATGTCAAGAAGACCCGCGTTATATTATCACGAGCGCTAGAGAGAGGTGTAATCCATTCGAGAAAATAGCACTCCCATTCATGTTGTAGTTCCTGAATAGGCACCTAAAGGCCTGAAAGAGATCAACGATAGAACGTCAAATTTCTTACGAGTTTAAGTTCTGTGTACTGATTGTGTATAAATTGACATACAACAACAAATAATTCTTCATCAACAAGCTTGACACATTAACCTACTAATAGAATAATAACATGTTACACTCGGTTAAATTGCACTGACATCAACAACAACAACAACAACAACATCAAACCCAGTGTAAACCCATAAGTGGAGTCGGGGAGGGTAGTGTGTACGCAGACCTTACTCCTGAGTTGCTCAGGCAAAGTAAAGAATAATTAAGTGTCTGCTACTTTTTCTTGTTTCTGGATTCTCCTTATTGTATAACATCAAACATCATAGTCTTCACTTTATACCTTAAAAGCATTTGCCATTTCTCAGAGTTTACTTTATTATTATACCAATAGACATTTCTGCTAAAAAATCATAATCAAAAACAAAATATTCCACACAAAATGCAAGAAAAGAGATTGCATCATAAAAACAAAAGTTTTAATACCAAATCCAAAAACTCATTAGATAACAAAAGAAAACAATCACAAATCAAAACCAAATGTTTTCTAATCAAATTATAACCAGAAAGCATGTTTGCATGCAAAAGAAAAAGAGAAAATATATATATATATATATATATATATATATATTGTGTTACATTTGAAGAAGGAAAAAAAAAAGATGACCATAAAAGAGCAATTACACACCTTAAAAAAGAGGGAGTGCTCCAGAAGCTCCAGAAGCAATTTCTATAGAATAGAATTAAGAATGGAGCTCAAATATATGACATTAAAAACAGGAGATGACAACATGATAATCAGAGAATGAGAGGCACAAACCAAGAAGCTTGTGGGTACATGCCACGTGTCCAAATCTTTGTTAGAAGAGTGGAATTTGCGGGGTTCCGTTCATAACGATAAGAAACAATCTTTTTATGTCTTGGTTTCAATTCCTAGTACTGTGTTCTTTTGTTTTCTTCCTTTTTCTAAGGCGTCACATGTTTTGTCAGCCTATCATTGAGCAGTGCAAAATATACTACTAGAGGATAAGGATATATTATCCAGAGGATACTCTCTAAAACTTGGGGCGATAGGAATTCATCTAATCTCTTTCGTCGAAAATTTTGTTATATATATATATATATATATATAAGATTTAATATTTTTAATTTTCGCAAAAATTATGCACTCGAACAGTTCGATACATAAAATATTTTATGTTTATGTAAAATTTAAAAATCAGTCAGTGATTCATTTTATGACTCGAGTCCCTGACCTAGCGTAAAGGTCACACGAAAATAATCCTGCTGCCACTAAATTGAGTTGCACATGCATAAGAATAACCCAATAACTTTATACATTTGTAATGCTTACATTATTAAGTCACTTTTTTAGAAAATAAAGATACATGTTACAAAAAAGAGAAACACGAGATAAACTAGAGATTGAAACATCTAAATTTGTGATTATAATATACTAGAATATATCACTATTTATATACAAGAAAAATAAAAAGGGTACAAGGAAACAAAATATTTTACACACTACTAGAAATTCGGTAAAAACCGACCAAAAAAATCGACCAACGTTGGTCGATAATAGCCAAAAATCGACCAAAACGCGACAATTTACGTGTGGACGGTATTTTTGTGGTCGGAAAGGAATACCGACCAAAGTTGGTCGGAAATTACCGATCAACTTTGGTCGGTCAATTAAATTCAAAAAAAAAAATATTGCAAAATAAACCGACCAAAGTTGGTCGGCTGTTCAAAATATTTTTTTTAATTTTTTTTTTACGAAACCGACCAACTTTGGTCGGTTTTTTGACCGACCAAAGTTGGTCGGCTGTTCAAAATATTTTTTTTAATTTTTTTTTTACGAAACCGACCAACTTTGGTCGGTTTTTTGACCGACCAAAGTTGGTCGGCTGTTCAAAATATTTTTTTTAATTTTTTTTTTACGAAACCGACCAACTTTGGTCGGTTTTTTGACCGACCAAAGTTGGTCGGCTGTTCAAAATATTTTTTTTAATTTTTTTTTTACGAAACCGACCAACTTTGGTCGGTTTTTTGACCGACCAAAGTTGGTCGGCTGTTCAAAATATTTTTTTTAATTTTTTTTTTACGAAACCGACCAACTTTGGTCGGTTTTTTGACCGACCAAAGTTGGTCGGCTGTTCAAAATATTTTTTTTAATTTTTTTTTTACGAAACCGACCAACTTTGGTCGGTTTTTTGACCGACCAAAGTTGGTCGGCTGTTCAAAATATTTTTTTTAATTTTTTTTTTACGAAACCGACCAACTTTGGTCGGTCAAAAAACCGACCAAAGTTGGTCGGTTTCGTAAAAAAAAAATTAAAAAAAATATTTTGAACAGCCGACCAACTTTGGTCGGTTTTTTGACCGACCAAAGTTGGTCGGTTTCGTAAAAAAAAAATTAAAAAAAATATTTTGAACAGCCGACCAACTTTGGTCGGTTTTTTGACCGACCAAAGTTGGTCGGTCGACCTTGGTCGGTTTTTGTCGAATTTTTAGTAGTGACAATAAATATGGATTNGTAATACGCATTTCTAGCTGCCTCATTAAAAACCTTATAAGGAAAACCCTGTGGGAAAAAACCTAGTAAGGAAAAAAGAGTATATCGCGTATTTTACTCCACCTGATGAAAACTTTGTTTCAAATATTTGAGTCTCCGCATTCCAATCTTGTATACCATCTTCTCAAAAGTTGAAGTTGGCAAAGATTTAGTGAATAAATCTGCCGGATTATCACTTGAACGGATTTGTTGCACATCAATGTCACCATTTTTCTAAAGATCGTGTGTGTAGAATAATTTTAGTGAAATGTGCTTCGTTCTATCTCCTTTTATAAATTCTCCATTCAATTGGGCTATGCATGCAACATTGTCTTTGTATAAAATTATGGATCTTTTATCATACTCCAAACCACATTTTTCTTGAATAAAATGAATCACTGATCTCAACCATACGCATTCCCTGCTTGTTTCATGAATAGCTATTATCTCAGCATGATTTGAAGAAGTAGCAACAATTGACTGTTTTGTGGAGCGCCATGATATGACAGTACCTCCACATGTAAACACGTACCCGGTTTGAGATCGAGCTTTATGGGGATCAGATAAATAACCTGCATCTACATAACCAACAAGATCTGCACTACCTTTGTTAGCATAAAATAAACCCATATCAAGAGTTCCCTTTAAATATCGCAAAATATGCTTAATCCTATTCCAATGTCTCCGAGTAGGAGAAGAGCTATATCTTGCTAGTAAATTAACAGAAAAATGCTATGTCAGGCCTTGTAGCATTAACAAAATACATTAGTGCACCAATTGCACTAAGATAGGGTACTTCGGGACCAAGGAGTTCCTCATCCTCTTTTGGAGGTCGGAACAAATCTTTATTCACTTCAAGTGATCGAACAACCATTGGTGTACTCAATGAGTGCGTTTCGTCCATGTAAAAGCATTTTAAGACCTTTTCTGTATAGACAGATTGATGGATAAAGATCTCGTCTGCTAAATATTTAATTTATAGACTAAGATAAAGTTTTTCCCTTTGGAGCTCTTCTCGAGTTCTTATGATATTTATGCCATTAACATAAACACACAAGTATAACAAACTATGATGTTGTTTTCTTTGTAAAATGCATGGACAAATGCCTTCATTTACATAACCTTCATTATCAATTCATTGAGGCGATTATATCACATGCGCCCAGATTGATTTAAACTGTACAAAGATCTTTGTACTCTGATTGAATGCATTTCACGATGCTTTGAACTATATTCTTCAAGCATTTTAAATCCTTCAGGGATCTTCATATAGACTTAATCAAATGAGTCATATAGGTTATGCCTTGCATTTAGACGGCATGACATCTTCAGGTGTCTGGACTACAGGTCTGATCCTCACAATTTTTATAATATTGCGAACTATATTGTATCAAATATATCGTCGACGATCGTTTTGCATCGGTTCGCAAGTGACATAACTTGTTGAGATCTTATCACTTTCTTTATTTTCAGGTACCTGAACATTTTCTAGAGTTTCATGAAATGTTATGTTGTGGGCTCTTCTAGAGCTCATTTCCTCCTCATTGTGATCATTTTGATCATTTGCTCCTATTTTTTTCAAGGATTATTACCTTTGGAATCGATCGGTTTACTACGCTTCATGCGTGCAGTAAACTTTATCCTCCAGGGACTTTAATTTTAATAGGAGCATTTGTAACTGAAATATAATATTTAATTTTGGATCAATAAATGCTTCTGGCATTTGACTTGAATTATCTTCTAAGTGAGGATCATATTAATAATAATTCGATTCATATAGCATATTTTTCAGTTGTTTATTCCATTCCCCAAATGTTAGAAAAACTAACACATATCCCCAATCTTCTTTGGGGAACATATCTTTGTGCATTGTGGTAGAGAAATTAATCATATACCGCACATAAAAAGTTATTAGATAGTAAAAATATTTGGTTTATGATCCTAGACCAATTGTGAGGGGATGACTTATCATATTTTGTTGGTCTGATGCATACAAGTGTTGTTGTATGCAATTTAGAAAATCTTAGATCAACACATGAGGCTTTGTTCTCATAAGCAATAGTTTAGCTATTAATAGGAGGTATTCAATGCTAAACTAGATTGGATATAAACCAGCATGATCAAGATGAACTATCTTGATTTCATAATCTGAAAATTATGCTTTTAATTGAGAAAGACAATTTCAAATGCCAAACTGCAGGTTGACAATAAATATACATATAACCATCTTATATATGCATCTATAAGTGGTTCACATAATAGGTGAATGGGCCCATATTCACCTTTTATATATTCCAGAATTCGGAGATTTTAGTCCCAACTTTAGCTGGTATAATCCAGTTATTATGAGAACAAGCAACACAAGAGAATTCTTGAAGAATCTTCTAGTTCTTCAGTATATGCTTCTCTGTATTCTCAAATAGCTCATTTAAAAATGGCAGATGAAAACTTCAAGTTTGTCATGGCATATGCTATCTCTAAGTAAACTTCTGGTTTACTATGGCATAAACTTTTGCATCAGTAAACTTCTGATTTACTAGGGCTACTTTTGTATCAGTAAATTTCTGATTTACTATGACTGCTTTTGCATTAGTAAACTTCTAGTATACTGTGATATATGATATAGTACAAATTTGAAGAATAAGGCGGGTAACTTCTCACATACATATTTACCCCGTATGATTGTGGAAACATGAAGATTTTCAATCTTTCAATCATTTGTAGTCTCAGTATGATAGTCATATGTATTAGTAAACTTCGGTTTATCATAACATATGTTTTGACCACAATAATGACAAATAAGTTCTTCGGGAGTCTTACATTTATTGTCCACAATCAAATATTATTCAGACACTACTTGTGTCATGTGTCTTCTAGACAAACAGTTAGCTCTTCAGGAGCTTTTGTTGTACTATCAAATATTGCTCAGACACTTTTGGTGTCATGAGAGAAAATCATAATCAAATGAACAATATAAAGCTAATTCTAAATTTATAAATGACGAAAAATAAGAATTTTAATATTTCTACCACTAACTTTGTGACAAATATCTCCTTCAAGAAGAAATATCATTATCATCTGAATATTTTGTATCAATACATCAACCACATAGTCATTGCATCTTTTAAGAAAAGATACACGAGTTGTTATTTCTTTCAGGGAACTCAATAACTAACCATAATATATTAATGTGGTTGTAGTAGAAATCATTCTACAAGAATATTTTTGCCTTAGAATTATACTTAATAAAATTATCCAAGATGTTTTACGTACAACAGGTACGTGCGGCAATGATATTTATGCCATAAAAATAATATTTATATCCTTTATTATTCTACCTCTTCAGGAGGTGAGTTGTGGTATTTCTTCATTCATTCCATGGAATGAAAATGTGCTTCAAAAATAACTTTGAATAGCTCATTATTTTGTTTA